ATCTTAAAAATGTTCAAGGATCCCAAAGAGGTTTTGTTTATGTGGACAGTATCTGTCAATGCCTACTGTTTTAGAAGAAAAATGAGGAAAATGTCCATGTTTTCTACATGTATTTACACATGTATAAGATGTCTACATACATATGTATATAGATATCTATGTGTGTGTGTGTGTGTGTGTATATATATATATATATATATATATATTTTTTTTTTTTTTTTGAGATGAAGTTTCACTCTGTTACCCAAACTGGAGTGCAGTAGTGCAATCTTGGCTCACTGCAGCTTCCGCTTCCCAGGTTCAAGCAGTTCTCCTGCATCAGCCTCCAGAGTTGCTGGGAATACAGGTGTGCACCACCATGCCTGGCTAATTTTTTGTTGTTGTATTTTTAGTAGAGACGGGGTTTTGCCATGTTGGCCACGCTGGTTTCAAACTCCTGACCTCAAGTGATCCACCCGCCTCAGCCTCCCAAAGTGCTGGGATTACAGGCATGAGCCACTGGCACAGCCTATTTATTTATTTATTGAGACAGAGTCTGCTCTGTTGCCCAGGCTGGAGTGCAGTGGTAAGATCTCAGCTCACTGCAACCTCTGCCTCCTGGGTTCAAGAGATCCTCCCACCTCAGCCTCCCAAGTAGCTGGGACTATAGGCATGTGCCACCATGCCCGGCTAATTTTTGTATTTTTTGGTAGAGGATGGGGTTTCACCATGTTGGCCAGCCTGGTCTTGAACTCCTGAGCTCAAGCAGTCTGCTCACCTCAGACTCCCAAAGTGCTGGGATTACAGGCATGAGCCACCTCGCTTAGCCTATTTATTTTTGAGATAGGATTTGGCTCTGTCACACAGGCTGAAGTGTAGTGGTGCAATTACAGCCCACTGCAGCCACGACTTCCCAGGCTCAAGCAATCCTCTCACCTCAACCTCCCAAGTAGCTGGGACCAGAGGCATGAACTACCACACCAAACAAGGTTTCACCATGTTTCCCAGGCTGGTCTCAAACTCCTGGGCTCAAGTGATCCACCTGCCTCAGCCTCCCAAAGTGCTAGGATAACAGGTGTTAGCCGCTGTGCCCGGCCCATATCTATTAATTTATTTAAAAATCACAGTGGCCTGGGAAACATGGAGAAACCCTGCCTCTACAAAATTTAAAAATTAGCTGGGCATGGCCAGCATCTGTGGTCCCAGCTACTCGGGAGGCTGAGGTGGGAGAATTGCTTGAGCTTAGGAGGTCAAGGCTACAATGAGCAGTGATCACACCACTGCACTCCAGCCTGGGTGATAAGAGTGAGACCCTGTCTCAGTATAAGTAAATAAATGACAATGAACTCATTACATTTTATGAAAAATAACTTTTCCAAAACAAAAAAACTGTGAGAAGAATAGCATTTTATTGACTGATTGATTGAGACAGAGTCTCACTCTGTCACCCAGGCTGGAGTGCAGTGACACGATCTCAGCTCTCACCACAACCTCCACCTCCCAAGTTCAAGCGATTCTCCTGCCTCAGCCTCCCAAGTAACTGATACTACAGGCTTCCACCACCATGCCTGGCTAATTTTTGTATTTTTAGTAGAAACAGGGTTTTACCATATTAGCCAGACTGGTCTTGAACTCCTGACCTTGTGATCTACCTGTCTCAGCCTCCCAAAATGCTGGGATTATAGGCGTGAGCCACTGAGCCTGGCCAAGAGTAGTATTTTAACATTTTAAAAAATATCTGGCAGCTCAAGTTTCATGTCAGTATCTGCATTTAATCTGTTGTAATATGTCATGTAACCTGTGGAAATGTCCACTGTACTCTCATGAGAGAGAGATTTTTATAAATTCATGGAATTATTATGAAGACAGTTTTGACCTTGACCTACTGAAAGGGTCTCTGGATCCCCCAGGGATCTAAACTGCACTTTGAGAAGTGCTGATCTAGCAGAAAGGATGAATGCCAAGCTCTGGAAATTGACCAGCCTAGATACCTATAAGTTATTCCAAATGCCAGCCTTTTGTATGATGTAGAATTAATACTTTCTCAAAAGCTATAATTTCACTTTCTTTTTTTTTTTTTTTTGAGACGGAGTTTCGCTCTTGTTACCCAGGCTGGAGTGCAATGGCGCGATCTCGGCTCACCGCAACCTCTGCCTCCTGGGTTCAGGCAATTCTCCTGTCTCAGCCTCCTGAGTAGCTGGGATTACAGGCAAGCGCTACCATGCCCAGCTAATTTTTTGTGTTTTTAGTAGAGACGGGGTTTCACCATGTTGACCAGGATGGTCTCGATCTCTTGACCTCGTGATCCACCCGCCTCGGCCTCCCAAAGTGCTGGGATTACAGGCTTGAGCCACCGTGCCCGGCCAATTTCACTTTCTTTAGTGAGGTAATTCATTAACTGCATAACTAAATCTATATATTTAATTTTTATTCTAAATTAGAAATGATTATTTCCCATTCATGTCTGGAAAATACAGTATCATAATAAAGCTTCATTCCGTAGCACAAAATAAACACTCAACAAGTATTTTGTCAAATAAATGTTCTTAGGCTCCATATAGCTGGAATGTGAGTAGCTTTATGCTTTTCACTAAACTCTGAACTAATGAGGGCAGGATATGAGCTACTGACAGCTCTAGTATTAAGTCCATTCCATGGATCTAGATAATAGTAATTTTAAAATTGGCATCACCCAGGTGAGCAGAATATAGACCTGTTTTATCAAAGAGGATTTCTTGCTTCTCACTCTCAGCTGGAGGTACCAGAGTGAAATACCCAGACTGAAATATGTTTCTAGTGAAATAATAATAGCTACTCTTTAATGAATGTTTACTAAATGTCATCTACTGGTGTAGGCATACATTGTATCATTTTATCTTTAAAATAACCCTGTGAGGTGGATACTATCTCCATTCTATGGGTGTATAATAGTCACAAGGTCTTTCAGCTGGTAAAATCTGTCTAACTGCAGGTCCTGAGTTTTAATCTGCTGACTGCCTCTGGATTAAAGAAGCCTGGGTTAAGGGTAAGAGTAGGAATTGGGGGCCGGGCGCGGTGGCTCAAGCCTGTAATCCCAGCACTTTGGGAGGCCGAGGCGGGTGGATCACAAGGTCAAGAGATCGAGACCATCCTGGTCAACATGGTGAAACTCCGTCTCTACTAAAAATACTAAAAATTAGCTGGGCATGGTGGCGTGTGCCTGTAATCCCAGCTACTCAGGAGGCTGAGACAGGAGAATTGCCTGAACCCAGGAGGCGGAGGTTGCGGTGAGCCGAGATCGTGCCATTGCACTCCAGCCTGGGCAACAAGAGCGAAACTCCGTCTCAAAAAAAAAAAAAAAAAAAAAAGAGTAGGAATTGGAAAGGCTGTTTGTTGCCTTTGGATTTTCATGCAATTATGTCAATAGGAGAAGGAGGAGAAGACAGAGTTGTTTAGATGATTTTTATCTCTGATATGGCATCAATTCAACAACAAAGATTGACTGCCTCATTTACTCTTCTGAATGCCGATTAATTCTGGTTGGAACAAGAGTGTGTTTCACTAACCTGTCGCTTGTCAGTTACTGAGCAGCTGCTGAGCACAGTACCTTGGTAAATAAAAAAGCAGTCTATTTGTGTTTATAAGGAGTTTAAACATAAGTTGGGGATTAAAATATTATTGGTATACATAATAGTATACCAGTAAATGTAAATTAAGGTATCTACTAACACTGGCCTTTGAATGGAACTATTTTTTTTTAGCCACCTGTATAAAAGAGAATGTGTTACAAATATGGCTAACTTTATGCTCTGAATAAATATTACCCTATGGCTCAGGAACTTTGGTGATAAGGTAAAAGAAGTTTTCATAGAGGGAGATAAAGTTTCTTATTCTCAATCCGTCCTGTAGAGATTAATATATTCTAAATTCAAATGCAGATCAAGAAAATAGGTCAAGGGCACTCCATTGTACACCTTCCCAGTCATGTTTTCATTATGGGACTCCCTAAGATGCTAAGGGCTAAAACTGGTTTTGACTTATCCTGAAAGTGGTAATACAGAGTTTTGTTAGTGCTGATGTTCATAAAAAATCTCTGGTTGTTGGGGAGACTGAGATCTTTCTTGAAGAAACAAGGAGTAGTTCCTCAATTTTCAAAGATCCAAAAGTTAGAAATTAATTATAATCAATGATAGCATCATAGAATCTTAAGATACAAAAAAAAAAATCTTAGAAATCATCTTGTATAACCTTTTATTTTTCATTCTTTTTAAAAACTTAAATCCATGGAACTCTGCTTGATATAACCTCTTCTTTTAGATGATGAAACCAAGACCCAAGAGATAAGTGATTTTGCCAAGTTTATATGCTTTATTAGTATATCTGAAACTAAGACTGAGTGCTAATAATGTAATTTAATTTCCTTCTCACTTTTCCTAGCTTCCTGATTTCTTTCTTCCAGACTCCTGAAAGTTCTAAGTATTTCCATAATATCTTGGTTAGGCAAGACCCAGGATATATATACGTAGGAAGAGCTCAGTCTCAGTTCTGCTTCTCCGTCCAATTAAGATCTTGGTCTTTTGATGTAAGGAAAACTGCCATTTATTAATCACCTTTTTTATGCCAGGGTCTTTCATATACATTATCTCATTGATACTTACAAGATTCTTATGAAGTAGATTTGTGGCTCTCACATTTTAATGGACATGTGAATCACCTGGGGATCTTGTTAAAATGCAGATTCTGATTCTGCAAGTCTGAGATGGGCTCAAGATTACGCATTTCTAAAAAGCGTCCATCCAGCACAATGGCTCACACCTGTAATCCCAGCATTTTGGGAGGCTGAGGCCAGTGAATGTTGTCACCATAAAGAAGTGATAAATGTTGAAAGTGATGGATATGGCAATTGCCCCAGTTTCATCATTATACTATGTATACATGCATTGAAACATCACATTGTACCCCATAAATATGTACGATTATTATGTGTCAATTATAAATAAATTTTTAAAAAAGATTTGGCCCCTGGGGTTTCTCTCTTACAGGTTTATTGCCAAACCCTGTGCACTCCATATTGGCATTGAGGACAGTGGTCCTTACCAGGCCCAACCCAATGCCATCCTTGAAAAGGTGTTCATATCTATTACTAAGGTAAGTAGGCAAAAAACAGGAAAATTTACATAAGGGGTTGTTCCACGGGGCAGGGCAGGATAGAGAGCACATACCTCTAAGGGTAAGGATAGAATGGGATGATCTTTCACATTTGAGTAGTCCATATAGCTATACGGAGAGACTTATCCCCTCAGGGAAAACATTTGGGCCCTATATATGTCAAGTTTACATAGGTAGTATGTTTGAATTTTAGGCCCAGCAGCCACCTTTACCCCTTTTCCCCAAACACACACCGTATCTTGTTTTTGTTTTTCCTTGTTCCAGTTTCTGTCACTGTCTAGTTATGTAACGAGATAGGGATGGTACTGATAGGCTTTGCAGCTGGGTTTTTTGTTTGTTTTTTGGAGAGACGAGATTTTGCCATGTTGCCCAGGCTGGGCTTGAACTCCTGGGCTCAAGCTATCCTTCAGCCCTCGGCCTCCAAAAATGCTGGAATTACAGGCATGAGCCACCATGGCCTGGCATGTAGTTTGGGTTTTCTTTTTCTTGAGATGGAGTTTTGTTCTTGTTGCCCAAGCTGGAGTGCAATGGTGCGATCTCTGCTTACCGCAACCTCCGCCTTTCAGGTTCAAGTGATTCTCCTGCCTCAATCTCCTGAGTAGCTGGGATTGCAGGCGTGCACCACCATGCCTGGCAATTTTGTACATTTAGTAGAGATGGGGTTTCTCCATGTTGGTCAGGCTGGTCTCGAACTCCTGACATCAGGTGATCCTCCTGCCTTGGCCTCCCAAAGTGATGGGATTATATGCATCAGCCACTGTGCCCAGCCAATTTGGGTTTTTAATTTCCTTTTTCACTCAGCTTGGGCTGGAGGAAAAGACAAAACAAGCATGTATATAGGTGAGCTGTAAAAATCCTTGATATGTAAGACAAAATTTCTGACAAAATGACTTTGGGATAAAACCTGGAAAGATAAACATCACTTGAGCCACTATGGCTATATGGCTATCATACCTTGTTACTCAGCTAGTCAGTGGGATTGAAGGAGGGGTCTGAGGAGACAGTGGTGTTCTGACTCTGGTTATACATTTACAGTATCCTGACAAGAAAAGGCTGGAGGGCCTGTCAAAGCAGCTGGATTGGAATGTCCGAAAAATCCAATGCTGGTTTCGCCATCGGAGGAATCAGGACAAGCCCCCAACGCTCACTAAATTCTGTGAAAGCATGTAAATATGCAAGGAGGGAGGGAGAGAATAAGGGAGAGGGTGGGATACAACTGGACGGAAGTTTTCTTTTTGGAAATCACTTCTGTTGCTAGGACAACAGTTAATGGCTACAGAGGGCTAACTCAGCCTATTATAGGTACCAAAAAAGGGAGCTGGAACACTGATTCCCTTAAGGTTCTTGGACATGTTGCCACAAAGCTAGGTGTGGTTCCATTTTGTTCCCTTTTTCCAAATAGATTGGGAGTTAAGTTCTCATAACTGTACTTACGTAAGTAGATGTAGTCATTCATGTATACTTTAACAGAGTACTGGCTTGCTTGCTATAAATTGACAATTTGTAGGAAGCATTCTGGCTAGGCGCGGTGGCTCACGCCTATAATTCCAGCACTTTGGGAGGCCGAGGCAGGTGGATCACCTGAGGTCAGGAGTTCAAGACCAGCCTGACCAACATGGAGAAAACCCGTCTCTACTAAAAATACAAAACTTAGCCAGGCATGGTAGCGCATGCCTGTAATCCCAGCTACTTGGGAGACTGACGCATGAGAATTGCTTAAATCTGGGAGGCAGAGGTTGCAGTGAGCCAAGATCGTGCCATTGCACTCCAGCCTGAGGAACAAGAGCGAAACTCTGCCTCCAAAAAAAAAAAAAAATTTGTAGGAAGTGCTCATCTTCTGGGAAATACTGTTCTTCATTTTATTGAGCTTTTTCTAATTATCCTCTGAGCACTGTTTTAATAATTGTCATGTAAAGAAAAATGCTAGGGAGTCTGATAATAGTGCCTAATATTTTTCCTAATGGAAAATGGCTCTGTCTTTGTCTTTTTAAATGACAGTAGTTACCCCGTTCTAGGAATTGGTCCTTTAACTCTCTTATCCCCAAATCTGCTATCTTGACCTCCCTAGCCTCAGAGACTTTGGTTGGAGTGGACATGTGTCTAACCACTACTCTTTGCCCACGCAGGTGGAGATTCACTTTTTATTTATTCATATTCTGCTATGGAATTAGATTTCTCTGGTCGGTGAGTCTTAACTTTCTCTAGTCCTCTGTTGGATTCTAATCATGCCGAGATCTCTAGCAGTAAGAGTTAAATACCTTTAGATCTTTTTTTTTTTGAGCTGGAGTCTCACTCTGTCACCCAGCCTAGAGTGCAATGGCACAATCTCAGCTCCCTGTAACCTCCGCTTCCCAGGTTCAGGCAATTCTCTAGCCTCAGCCTCCCGAGTAGCTGGGACTATAGGTGCACACCACCACACCTGGCTAATTTTTGCTTTTTTTTTTTTTTTTTTTTTTTGAGATGGAATTTCGCTCTCGTTACCCACGCTGGAGTGCAATGGCGCCATCTTGGCTCACCGCAACCTCCACCTCCTGGGTTCAGGCAATTCTCTTGCCTCAGCCTCCTGAGTATCTGTGATTACAGGCACGTGCCACCATGCCCAGCTAATTTTTTGTATTTTTAGTAGAGATGGGGTTTCACCATGTTGACCAGGATGGTCTCGATCTGTTGACCTCGTGATTCACCCGCCTCGGCCTCCCAAAGTGCTGGGATTACAGGCGTGAGCCACCGTGCCCGGCCTATTTTTGCATTTTTAGTAGAGATGGGGTTTTACCATGTTGCCCAGACTGGTCTTGAACTCCTGACCGCAGGTGATCCACTCGCCTCAGCCTCCCAAAGCTCTGGGATTTCAGGTGTGAGCCACCGCACCCGGCCTAAATACCTTTAGATCTTTATAGTTCCCCAACTTTTCCTCCTCTGTGATGCCCATAGTCCAGACTTATATCCTAATAGATTGTCTTCTGTCTGGGGTCTGACTTCGGTAATCTTATAACTCTGCTTCTCCCCTAGATGATACTAATGATATTAGTAGTAACTAATTCAGCATAATACTTAATGGTTTGCAAAGCACTTGACAAAAATTGAAAGAGGAGAAACAGAATCAACCCTTTAAAATGGGTGAAACAGGTATTATTCCCCCTTTTTAGTTAATTGTCAGAGTCAAGAATTTCAGGGGGTCAGGCATGGTGGCATAATTTTAACACTCAGAGAGGCCAAGATGGGCGGATCATTTAAGCCCAGGAGTTCGAGATCAACTTGGGCAACATGGTGAAACCCACTCTACCAAAAAAAATTACAAAAATTAGCCTGTCATAGTGGCATGCACCTGTAGTCCCAGCTACTTGGGAGGCTAAGGTGAGAGAATGGCTTGAGCCCAGGAGGTCAAGGCTGCAGTGAGCCATGATGGAGCCACTACATTCCAGCCTGGGTGACAGAGCAAGACTATGCCTCAGAAAAAGAAGGAAGAATTTCAGGCTTTTTATTTCTTGAGTTCATGTTTTTTTTCCCCATACCATACTGTTTCTCTTTAAAGGACATCATGTTTTCAAAATATTATAGACAAAAAACTGGCTCAACTGAAGGAAAAGAATAGACAAATACACAGTTGTATTTGAAGATTTTCATACTTTTCTCTCGGTAACTGACCTAAGCCCTAGGCAAAAAATAATCACTAAGGATGTAAAAGATATAAACAACATCATCAACCAGTTTTGCCTTATTGACATTATAGAACACTACACCAACAGTTGAAGAATACATATAATTTTCAAGAGCATGTAGAAAGATAAACTAATGCTGGGCCATAAAATAAGTCTCAGCAAATTTCACAATATTGAAATCTTAAAGAATGTGTTCTCTGACCATAATGGAATTAAATTAGAAGTCAACTGTAATGAGAGGCATAGGAAATATTTGGAAGTCAGCCTGGTGCTGACTCATGCCTGTAAATCCTAGCACTCTGGGATGCTGAGGTGGGCGATTACCTGAGCTCAGGAGTTCAAGACCAGCCTGGGCAACATGGCGAAATTCTGCCTCTACTAAAAACAAAAAACATTTAGCAGAGTGTGGTGGCATGCACCTGTAATCCCAACTGCTGGGGAGGTGGAGGCACAAGAATCGCTTGAACCTAGGAGGCAGAGGTTGCAGTGAGCTGAGATCACACAATCTACCCACCCTAGCCTTCCAAAGTGCTGGTATTAACAGGTGTGAACTACTGTGCCTGGCCATGGAAAAACCCAAAAGTTTATTCTTTGAAAGGTTTGATTAAAATTGACAAACTCCAACAAAAAAAATATGGAAAAAAAAAATGGCTGGGCATGGTGGCTCACACCCATAATCCCAGCACTTTGGGAGGCCAAGGCGGGTGGATCACCTGAAGTCAGGAGATCAAGACCATCCTGGCCAACATGGTGAAACCCTGTCCCTAAAAAAAAAAGAATTATCAATATGGGAAGGGTTATCACTACAGATCCTATAGTCATTGAAAGGATAATAAGACAATATTATGAACAATGTAATGATAAGAAGTCCAGCAGCAAAGTTGATGTAAACAAACTCCTTAAAGGACATAATCATTATCCATTAGAGATGATTACTTTTGACTTCTGAACCTGGCATGGAGTTATCTTTCTTAGTTATCAAATGGAATCATTGTCTTCCTGTATATATATTCCAGGTGGTGATGTTTCCTAAAACAATCCTAGCCAGGCACGGTGGCTCATGCCTGTAATCCCAGCACTTTGGGAGGCTGAGGTGGGTGGAGCACCTGAGGTTAGGAGTTTGAGACCAGCCTGGCCAACATGGTGAAACCCTGTCTCTACTTAAACAAAAATTAGCTGGGTGTGGTGGCACGCACCTGTAGTCTTCAGCTACTTGGGAGGCTGAGGCAGGAGAATCCCTTGAACCTGGGAGGCAGAGATTACAATGAGCTGAGATCGGGCCACTTTACTTCAGCCTGAATGGTACAGTCAGACTCCATCTCCAAAAAAAATGATAGTAAAGCTCTCACTGTTCTTATTTACCTCAAAGCATAGTTTTTCTGTTTACAACATTCTGTTGTAGAAGAACAACCTAGCTATTTATTGATCCTTTAGGGAGCCCTACAATCTGTTCAGGGGCTTTCCTGTCTCTCATTTGCCCCAGCCTAGACAGAAGGGGATACATAGGGTAGCTCTTGAAGCCAGGTGAGAATCTTGAGGACTGACGTGGATTATCTGTTTTCTTGTAGTCACCTTGGTTCTGGGACATCGGACAGTGCTGGTATAACTATCCATTTCAGGTAGGATCTCAGTTGTTTCAGGATGGGGTCTTGAATGTGTATAAGGTGGAGGGAGTGAGGGTCCTTTGCCAGTCCCCAGGACAGATGGTACATTTCCTTGGGATTGAGGGATTAGGGGCTGAGTCCCTTTAAGTTGTATATTCAGGGTATCTATTTTTTTTTCCCCCACTGCTAACAGTCATATGAGGTATCTATTCTTGAGGCCCCCATAGCAATGAAATCCAGTGAGTTTTTTGTTCTGATTTTCCCCATTATATTCACCCTAATTGGGCTAGAAATAAAAGCACTTTTCTGGTATTTAATGAGGTACTTTCTGGTTCAGATGTCTTTTTTGTATCAAGGGTAACTTGGAATCCCATTAAGAGCATCTTGGTTGTAATATATACTGGAAATATGTCAAGGAACTGCTAAAGGGTGGAAGAGGAGAAGGCCTATGTGTATTTAATCCTGTGAAAAGCACTAATTGCCTATCCTAGACATACTGATTTGATTGTGTTACAGTATGTGTTAACTGTATCTCATCTCTACAAGATGAGAGCTGAAGATGTATGTGCAGAGGAGCAAGGGAAGTCTCCACACCAATCCAAAGTCTGATACCTATTGTATGTCTTGGGAGAGAATGGAGAGGAGAGATGTCTAAAAATTTGTATTGGTCTTTCAAGGCAGAGAAAGTTGGAGAGATGGAACGCACCTTTGACTAGCTGGTATTCTATTTCTTTCTCTCTTCCAGCCTCTGTCAAGTGGACTTTATTACTATTATATCATGGAATTGGCTTTCTATTGGTCCCTTATGTTTTCTCAGTTTACAGACATTAAAAGAAAGGTAAGGACGTTGGCTCCCTCAGTCCCCCAAATTACTGCATCCTTCTTTCTAGCAGCTTCCATGACTGCCATTATGATGGATTATCTTCCCTGACTGGGACCACAAAAGGAGAAAGTAGGTTTGATGAGACTGTTAGCTTGTTGTAATGTTCCCAGAAATGAGACTTAAACTAATGATGAAGTATATTTAAGACATTTATGGCAGCCCCAGGATGAGAACAGTTAACCAGCTAAGAAGCATACTTTCTTCCGTTTTCTTCTTTAAGCCTCTTACATATCTAAAGCTCAGGAAACTAGTCAGAATTGGGGGGTAGCAGTGCCTTATTCAGAAAAAACACCTGATTGCAGAATAGCTGGATATGGCTTTCATATACCATTAGGGACCCTTGCTCTGTCTTCCCTTTTGGGTTACCCCACTTACTCAAAGAAGGTCAACTGGAAGGAGTTTTACTCTCTTCCTACTATTTAGGAGGCAGTGATTGGGAGAAGGGAGCTGACTTGCCCATATAGTGACAGTTGGAAATAACTCAAGTTTATACAATCAAATAGAAAAGACAGAATCTTTACCTTTTTATTAGTGTTTACCTGAAATAATGTGGTTCCTGCAGCTCTAACCATAATCTGTCTCTAACTCAGGTTTCACTTTGGTGAAATTTATGGCAATGAATTAAAACTCACCCGGGTTGTTAGTGTTATCTGACATAGAAACTTGACACTCACTTTTTAAGCCTTTTACTCTCCTGTGGTCAGAAGACACAGGTCACTTTATTAAAATTTTATTTTAATATGTGATACATATAAGAGAGTTTGAGATACATATGTAAGTTTTAAAAATAATAGACTGAGAATTATGTAATAAATATGTCTGATAACTCAAGTACTCAGACTTCCCCACGTCTACCAACATTTGAACCCAAGAGGAAATTAGAGCCACAAACCTCTCCTTTCTATTAGGTCTTTTGGTTGATATTTCTCTGATTAAAGCAGAAGAGTAATAGAATCTCAGGGAATTCTAAGGCTTATGTGTCCCATTGGGAAGTTACCCCCGGATTCTGCAGTTACCAAAGGAAATTGTTACTTTCTGGTTTTTCAGCTGCATTAACATAGAGTATGGGTCAGTCACTGATGTAGGGAGTGTTCAGTTAAATGCTAGGTAACTAAGGGAGAGTCTAAGCAGAATGGAAACTATTATATACAGGGTGGGTAAGATCCTCAGAGAATAATGCAGGATATTGGGTTGGCTGGTGTTTCTATGGCCTGGCCTTTACCTCCCTCTTCTATTTCTATTCCTTCCTAGGACTTCCTGATCATGTTTGTACATCACTTGGTCACCATTGGGCTTATCTCCTTCTCCTACATCAACAACATGGTTCGAGTGGGAAGTCTGGTCATGTGTCTACATGATGTCTCAGACTTCTTGCTGGAGGTAAAAACCCAGTCTCTCTTTCTCCATCTTCTTGGCCTTCTCTTCTTCTATTCCTGTGTGAGAACTTTCTCCCCAACTCAATTCTTATCTTCCTTTCTCCAGGCAGCCAAGCTGGCCAATTACGCCAAGTATCAGCGGCTCTGTGACACCCTTTTTGTAATCTTCAGTGCTGTTTTTATGGTTACACGTCTAGGAATCTATCCATTCTGGTAAGCAGCAGGGCGATAGAGCTGTGGTAGGCGTGAGCCTAATGATACCTTTTTGCCAATTCTCATTTTGCCCATTCAGTGTTTCTGTTCTATTCTATTCTATTTTTGCTGATAGAACACCAAGAACCCTATTGCCCTGCTTTTACCTTGGCCTGTGCTGACCTTATTATGGACTCTTAGGACCTCTGCTGCCTCACACCATATTTCTAGCAAGGTTGGATCCAGACTCAGAGTATTTGACTTGGTGGGCTTCTGGTTTTTCTGACTCATCTCTGAGGAACAATCCTCATTTTATGCCTAAGTAATTCCTTTACCTTCTTTTGCATTGTTGACACAATTCTCAGGCCCTTTTTGTGTTCCTGCTCTGGTCCCAACCCTGACCAACATACACACACACACACACACACACATACACACACACACACTCACTCTCTCTCTCTCTCTCTCTCTCTCTTCCTCTCTCTCTCCCCACCCCACCCCTCCTCTTCCTGTCTCCTTTCACTTCTACATTCACTGCTTTATGGAAATCAGTTGCCTACTATCCTATCCTATATGTGCCTGAGGAGCTGAGTCATTCCTATGATTAGAGTCCCACTGCTGTCCTAATTTCATGAAACTGCATATTTGAAATGACTAATAATATGACTTAATCCATCAGTTCCTAAGATTATTCTTTCCTTATCCCTAAAGATAGAAAACACCACAGGCTCCTCCCTTTCTTTATTTTCTTACTATGGATGACAGTCCCCGGAACTTCAGCTGACAAAAGGGCTGGGAAGGAAACACACAGGGCTCTGCATCCCTAGGACTCGGCGTCATCCCTGTCTGCTGAGCTTTGACTCTAGAATCTGACTATTGGCCTCCCTCTTCTAGGATTCTGAACACAACCCTCTTTGAGAGTTGGGAGATAATTGGGCCTTACACTTGCTGGTGGCTCCTCAATGGCCTTCTGGTGATCCTACAGGTTCTGCATGTCATCTGGTCCTACCTGATTGCACGGATTGCTTTGAAAGCCTTGATCAGGGGAAAGGTGAGGATGAAAGATGGCTTCTTTGGGGTGTAGGGGAAGACAGGGATTACTCAACAGACATTCTCTCTCCATCACAACTGGTAAACCCCATCTACTCAAGCCAAGCAAAAAGCCTAGGGCTCCAAAGTCTTTGCCTTTTCTATGAGCATTTTTTTTTTTTTTTAAAGAGAGAAAAGTCTTGCTTTGTCACCCAGGCTGGAGTTCAGTGGCATGATCATGGCTCACTGCAGCCTCAAATCTGGGCTTAAGGGATTCTCCCACCTGTGCCTTCCAAGTAGCTGGAACTATAGGTGAGCACCACCATGCATGGCTAATTGTCTTATTTTTTGTACATAGGGTGTCACTGTTACCCAGGCCAGTGTCCAACTACTGGCCTCAAGCAATCCCCCCACCACGGTCTCCCAAAGCAATAGAATTACAGGTGTGAGCTACTACAACAAGCCTGTTTTACCTCTTAAGATGTGGTTTAGATGCAAGAGGAAAGTTCTGCCTTCTTCCTGTCCCTTAGGAATGGCTTTTGTTAAAGGATGATAGGGGGCTGGGCACGGTGGCTCACGCTTGTAATCCCAGCACTTTGGGAGGCTGAGGTGGGCGGGTCACAGGTCAAAAGTTCGAGACCAGCCTGACCAACATGGTGAAACCTCATCTCTACTAGAGATACAAAAATTAGCCAGGTGTGGTGGTATGCACCTGTAATCCCAGCTCCTCAGGAGGCTGAGGCAGGAGAATTGCTTGGACACAGCAGGTGGAGGTTGCAGTGAGCCGAGATCGAGCAACTGCACTCCAGCCAGCAAGACAGAGTGAGACTGCATCTCAAAATAAATAAAGGATGATAGGGTTAAAAGATATTTTCTTGGCCAGACGCGGTGGCTCACGCCTGTAATCCCAGCACTTCGGTAGGCCAAGGCGGGTGGATCACCTGAGGTCAGGAGTTCAAGTCCAGTCTGACCAATATGGTGAAACCCCGCCTCAAAAAAAAAAAGTTTTCTTTCTTTTTTTTTTTTGAGACGGAGTTTCGCTCTTGTTACCCAGGCTGGAGTGCAATGGCACGATCTCGGCTCACCGTAACCTCCGCCTCCTGGATTCAGGCAATTCTCCTGCCTCAGCCTCCTGAGTAGCTGGGATTACAGGCACGCGCCACCATACCCAGCTAATTTTTTGTATTTTTAGTAGAGACGGGGTTTCACCAGGTTGACCAGGATGGTCTTGATCTCTCGACCTCGTGATCCACCTGCCTCGGCCTCCCAAAGTGCTGGGATTACAGGCTTGAGCCACTGCACTCGGCCTTTTTTTTTTTTTTTTTTTTAATTTCTATACCAGATGTGGTTTCAAAGGTTAAGAGTTTTTTAAGAGATGGCCTCAACCATTTCCTCCCCTTTACCTACCTACTTCAGTGGATTTCATATTTTTGTTTTTGACATGGGGCCTTTTTCAAAAAAGTAAATCATATGCAGAGCTGTATAAACTGTATAAAAGCAGATTGTTAAGTTACCTAGAAGTGGTATATGGTAGTTCATAAGCCACCACAAGATGACCATGCTGTGATATTCAAGATATGGTTTATATGAGAAACTAAATACCCACCTCACCCCACTGATGTATGAGGCAAGTGTCCTAAGTGAATGGATATGTAGTGTTTCAAATACCCATCTTATGCCAAGAGCCAAAGAAAGATGCCATTTAATGATATACTCATAATTGAACTTTGCAAGTTTTGAGGCAGTCACACGATAGTTAGTCCAAGAGCTAAGGATTTCAGCCTAAAGGAATACAGAATCCCAAGCGGGAGGGGCTCTGCTTGAGGAGGTACTGATACTAGGACCAACTGATGGAATGTAGCCTAGATACTGATGAGCTCCAATGTCATTATTCCTTATGGCTGCCATTGGCTCAGAACTTGCTCAGTGTGCCTGTGCATCTTGCTGTAGCTACTGGACATCTCTGTTCTCTCCTGCTTTTCTTTCCTCACTAGGTGACCTGTCCAGGAAGAATTAGACCCTGTACTCTCCACTCTTTCCTCATCTCCTTCCTTTTTTCTATGCCTGGCAGGAGCTGGACAGTTTCATCTCTTGCATGTAAGTGTATCTGTGCTTCTAGTACTCAGTGAAGTGTGTCCTTCTGAATGTGGTTCTCTTTCCTCCTGCTCTCCTTTCTGTTCCCTTGTGTTTGTTTCAGAGCATGCCCTTTCTTCTGACTTGATGGGACCATTATTGACTAGAGCTGCAGTTGCCAGATTTTTTCCTAAATTGAGGCAAGAATTGAGTCTACTTTTTTTTCTTGAGTCTCTGTTTACCAGAAGTCTAGAGATACTCTGCCCTGTAGTGGAAATGTCCTAAAGATCAGGTAATCAATTAGTCATCTGGGTTCAGATGTCAGCAGCTATAATCAACTATAGAAGAGCCATCGAACACAAATTCAAGAGGCTAATCCAAAGCAAATGCTCACCTCCTTGGCAACAGCTGTTACAGCTATGTTCCTTTTCACTTCCTTCTCTCCTTTACTTAAACCATATTTGTTATCCTTCAGTTCTGGAGGTCAGAAGTCCTACACAGGTCTCACTGGGTTTCTGTTCTTTTAGAATCCAGGATAGAGGGTTTTTTTGTTTGTTTTTGAGACAGAATTTTGCTCCATTGCCAAGGCTGGAATGCAGTGGTGCAATCATGGCTCACTGTAGCCTTAACCTCCTGGGCTCAAGAGATCCTCCTGCTTCAGTTCAGCCTACCAAGTAGCTAGACTACAGGTGCATGTCACCATGCCCAACTAATTTTGTCATTTTTTATTTTTTGTAGAGACAAGTCTCTCACCATGTTGCCCAGGCTGGTCTCAAACTCCTGGGCTCAAGCAATCCTGCCTTGGCCTCCCAAAGTGCTACGGTTATAGGTATAAGCCACCATGCCTGGCCCATGGTAGAGAAATTGAAATACTTTGCTTGATATGCAGGATAGTTTAGATTGGGAAACGCTGCTGTAATCCAGATGCTTCATTTGAAAATACCAATCAAAAAAGCCCAGGTTAACAAGCATTCACAGATGGTAGCATGATTGATTACAGCTGAGATTCTTTTCTCATTGACTGCCAATCCATTTTTGTTTTCACTATACTGTGCAACTTAGGGATGCTGAAGTTTCACAGGAAAAGTGATCTTACTTTTGAGAAAGGGAAGAAAATTGGAAAACAGTGTCATCGGTTAGTGGTAGTTGAGCCCAGGAATGGTAAACTACTAAAAAAGGCGTATTATGGATCAGATTTGGGGATAGACAAACAGCATAACCAATATGAATAAATGCATTGTCCACAACTACCAGAAGATAGAAGCAGTCCTGACAGACATATGTATTGTTTGTGTTGGCCTTCCCTGGTTTTGAAGTAGAAGAAGATAAAGGGTATCTGGAGTTTCCCTGAAACCTAAACCAGGTCTCAATGAATGATGTCAGTTCCCTTAGGCTGGTCCTAAAAGACACATCCCTCTACCAAAGTAGCTTCTGTTCCATAGAGAACAGAATTGGAGATGACAAGGGAGAAAACAAGAAAGCAGGTGAAGCACAGTCATAACAGTAGCCATGGTCCAAACAATACTTTGAGTCAGGTGTCACCAGAAAGCAGACCAGACAGGGGACACAGTGCCCAAACCTGGGTCTCTGAGCTTAGGTGTGTCTTATGGTTCTCTCCAGAAAAGTTCTGTCCTTACTTTTCAGTCTTTGGTCCCATCCCACCCAGGTATCTAAGGATGATCGCAGTGATGTGGAGAGCAGCTCAGAGGAAGACGATGTGACCACCGGCACAAAAAGTCCCTGTGACAGTAGCTCCAGCAATGGTGCCAATCGGGTGAATGGTCACATGGGAAACAGCTACTGGGCTGAAGAGTAAGGTGGTTGCTGTGGGAATTTAAGCACATATGGACTTGTAGGGCCACTGGCAACATACTCCTTTTGGCCCTTCCTGTATCTACTCTTCTGTGACTGGGGGACTGCAAGGCACTGAGGAGTACCAAAGAAGCAAATATTTTCACTTTAAAAGAAAACTCTGCCATTTTGTATTTAATAGCCTCCAGGTTCTTTCAGTAATGTTATTTGCTCTGTGTGTTGGTGTGTGTGTTTGTTCATGTGCATTTGTACATATGCGTGAGTTTCATTGCCAGGGTTGGGGCACAATTCTGGACTGGGACCATGAGGCCTTCCCTGGTCCCCTTTAGACCCACTTCAGTTCCACATTTGGTTGCATCTTGAATTATGCTGACTCCAGATTATCCCCTCCCTTTTTTTTTTTTTTTTTTTTTTTTTTTTTTGGAGACGGAGTTTCACTCTTGTTACCCAGGCTGGAGTGCAATGGCGCGATCTCGGCTCACCGCAACCTCCGCCTCCTGGGTTCAGGCAATTCTCCTGCCTCAGCCTCCCGAGTAGCTGGGATTACAGGCACGCGCCACCATGCCCAGCTAATTTTTTGTATTTTTAGTAGAGACGGGGTTTCACCACGTTGACCAGGATGGTCTCGATCTGTTGACCTCGTGATCCACCCGCCTCGGCCTCACAAAGTGCTGGGATTACAGGCGTGAGCCACCGCGCCCGGCCTATCCCCTCCCTTTTTGCCCTTGGCTCTTGAGGCTCTAAACTCCTGGCCCATCTGAATGGAGCAGCCAAGTTCAGTCCCAGATTTCTGCACTGTTCCTCTTTCACAGCTGGACTATTTTGCATGATAAAGTTGAATAGAAATAGCACCATGGACAGATGGCCAGGATTGCCATGGTCCCTAGCTAGATCCCCTTCCTACCACCTGATAGCAACAGGGACAGCTGCCTATACCCTGCTCTTTACTCGATGGTACCCAGGGAAGGGGCATGGGAAGAGGGTGAGCTGAGGCCTGGAGGACAACAGCCACTGAGTGAGCTGTTCAGTCTTATACTATTGTTTATCTGTGATTAAAAGTGCTTCAACCCACCTCTACTGTCTCTACCTCTTTAGTGACTCTGTCCACCATTTGCAAAATCCATAAGCTAATTAAGAGATTTTCCAGGTCTGAATCAGGAGGCCCTGGACACCAAATTTTTCCTTTCTGTGCATAGTGGGAAGCGAATCAGCCAGGGTGCTTATATTTTAGAGCTTTTATGTTTTCACAAAAAGTAAATAGGTTTAGTGGGTCACAAGACTGACCTGGGCAGGTTCAACAATGTATATAGTGAACCAACAAAAGCTTTGGTTGAAAAGCCAAGACACCATTAGGTAGATACCTGTATTTCCTATTTTAGTCAATACAGATATGGTCAATTAACTTTTTTTTTTTTTTTGCGGGGGGTAGAGATGAGGTCTCCCCATGTTGCCCAGGTTGGTCTCAAGCACCTGGCCTTCAGCCAAAGTGTTGGGATTACGGACATGAGCTACTGTGTCCAACCCAATTAACATTTTAAGGTTGTGATAAGTAAGTCTGAGATGCTTCTTGTTTTAGTTCTGTTTTCTCTTTTAGCGCATGGAGAATCAGTCATCCTAATCCAGACTTTTCTCTGTGGTCTTGGCAAAATTACCAAATGTAGTATTCATCTCCCAGAATAATTTTCCATTTGGTGAATGTTCAGATTATCAAAATATTTCCAAGTGCTCTTATGTACATTATGATATATGCAGAGTGTCAGGGAGAAGAATGAAAATGGAAAGAAGCCAGGTGCGGTGGCTCACGCCTGTAATCCCAGCACTTTAGGAGGCTGAGGCGGGTGGATCACAAGGTCAAGAGATCGAGACCATCCTGGTCAACATGGTGAAACCCCGTCTCTACTAAAAATACAAAACATTAGCTGGGCATGGTGGCGCGTGCCTGTGATCCCAGCTACTCAGGAGGTTGAGGCAGGAGAATTGCCTGAACCCAGGAGGCGGAGGTTGCGGTGAGCCGAGATCGTGCCATTGTACTCCAGCCTGGGTAACAAGAGTGAAACTCCGTCTCAAAAAAAAAAAAAAAAGAAAATGGAAAAAAATGGGTTACTGTTCTAAGAATCAGATACTCTCTTCATGTTCAATGACATAGGGATATTAACCCTACTAAACTTAACCTTACTAACAGACTTGATTTTTAGAAAGACTTACTGCCATGTACCTCCTTACCTCCAGCCACCCACCCCACCCTCCCTGTGGTGCAGGCCTGCCAAGATTCTAGGTGGACAAACAACTTGAATATCAACAGGGGGCGGAAAACAAACCCACTAGTGGGACCAAAAAGCAGACCCATCAGCAGAACACAGGCAGCAGCTTCAACAATTAATTCCAAAACTGAAAGTCAAATCCAGGAGAAGACTGAGGAAGCCCCATTCTCTTTGAGGTACATCAACATCAACAACGATCAATGGACCCACTTAATGGAGCTCTTAATTGACACTTAATTGTAAATTAAGATTTGCTGATGACAACGGGCTAATTTAAGCTACCGTGGAAAGAGGAAAGAAATGGAAGCTACCAATCGTAGGAAGCAGCACGTGTACTGTGCAGGTAAAAATATAAATGAAATAAAAGAAAATCTAACTTCTCATTCTAGAAGGCAGTGACTGCCGCAGATCAAGAGGTTATTGTTTTTGCAACCTCTGTTCTCCATTACGTAAGAAATGACCTTTTAAAAGACAGACTTGGAAAGGGGGTATTATCTCTGTCAGCAAAGCAAATTATAGATTACTTCCCCACTCCACCCCCGACACCATGAAATCCCAAAAGAGTTAACAGGTGAACAGTAGCAGCTTGAAATGATTTATTTTTTCTAAGGGAACATTAAATACTGTATTGCTTGCTGAAAAAAGACTGTGGGGCATAGGAAAATTAAGTTCTAAGTAGTCATTTGGTCAGAGGTAATCAGGAAGACTAAAAATTAGGTCTTTTAGTTCCTCAAATTGCTATATTGAATAGACTAATTGTGAAATATGAATGAAAGTGCTTGTGAAAGTCAGATGAGATATGTATTTTGCCTTCTGAAAGTTGAGTAACTGCCTTGTTAATACAAACTGGATTGACTGGTATAGTTAATCTGACAAAAGATGCAACTGAATAAAACAATAATAAAAATAATAGCTAACACATAACTCTTATTACATGCTAGTCACTGTATTAAACACATATGATAATAGGAGGCAAAAAGGTTAACTTGCTAAGGTCAAACAGCTAGTAAGTGGTCACACCCTTACTATTCCTATCTATCTTACTAATCCTCTCTCTCTATTCCCAATCACCATACTATCTATACCATAATTAACCACTCTGCAGTCTCTACCAGCACTTCCCAAGATTTCATAATGAGGAAGAATAGATGCTGCAGAAACATTCAGCCAGAGGCACAGACTGATTATATTAAGTAGTTTGCATTGGATAAGTGAATTAAGACGAAGGTCAATTATAGGAACAGAATCTTGTTCTAAGAAGGAACTATGCGCATATGGTTGGAGTGCGGGAGAGAGGTAGAGTTCTAGAGACGGAATACAGAGCTAGAACATAACTGTTACTGGTGCACCAAGACTGTGAAAACCAGTTTTGTAGATGGCCTGGGAGGAAGGACCCAAATTAGCAGAAAGTAGGTTAGCTACAGACTCACTTCATCTACACCAGAGAACCAGGAGGATTTTTTTTGTTTGTTTTGTTTTTGAGACAGAGTTTCACTCCTGTTGCCAGGCTAGAGTGCAATGGCACAATCTCAGCTCACTGCAACCTCCGCCTCCCAGATTCAAGCGATTCTCCTGCCTCAGCCTCCTGAGTAGCTGGAATTATGGGCATGTGCCACCATGCCCAGCTAATTTTGTAATTTTAGTAGAGATGGGGTTTCTCCATGTTGGTCAGGCTAGTCTCGAACTCCCGACCTTGGGTGATCGGCCTGCCTCATCCTCCCAAAGTGCTGGGATTACAGGCGTGAGCCACCATGCCCAGCCAAACCAGTAGTATTTTTAAGAGAAATAAGGCGTTACCTCTCTTCTGTTGGCTATAAAAGGGTTTTTATTGTTGTTGTTATTATTATTAGACATAGGGTCTTACTCTGTCACCCAGGCTGGACTGCAGTGGTTTGATCATTGCTCACTGCAGCCTTGATCTGGGCTCAAATGATCCTCCGTGCTCCCAAGCAGCTTTATTATTAATTGAAAAATCACTTATGTTTGTATAGTGCTTTATAGCTTAGAAAGTGATTTTTTTTCTCCCAGGCTGGAGTACAATAGCGCGGTCTCGGCTCACATTCAAGTGATTCTTCTGCCTCAGCCTCTGGACTAGCTGGGACCAAGGCTTGTGCCACCATGCCTGGCTAATTTTTGTATTTTTAGTAGAGACAGGGTTTTACCATGTTGGCCAAGCTGGTCTCAAACTCATAACCTCGAGTGATCCACCTGCCTTGACCTCCCAAAGTGTTGGGATTACATGTGTAAGCCACCGTGCCTGGCCAAAAGAGATTTCACATACATCAATAACTAATACCTAAAACACTTCTGTAAAAAAAGGAAGAAAGAAAAATACTGGCTGAGCCAAGTATGTAAAAAACAAAACAAAACAAAAACACTTTGGGAGGCTGAAGCAGAAAGATTGCTTGAGGCCAAGAGTTTGAGACCAGCCTGAGCCCAAGGCAAGACCTTATCTCTACAAAAAATTTTAAAATTAGCCAGGTATTGTGATGCACATCTGTAGTCCCAGCTACTCTGGAGACTCAGGTGGGAGGACTACTTGAGTTCAGGAATTTGAAGTTACTGTGAGCAATAATGGCACCACCGCACTGCAGCCTGGCGACAGAATGAGACCTTGTCTAAAAAAAAGTGTAGTCTGCCGGGCGTGGTGGCTCACACCTGTAATCCAAGCAGTTTGGAGGCCAACGCAGGCTGGTCTTGAACTCCCCACCTGAGGTTGGGAGTTCAAGACCAGCCTGACCAACACGGTGAAACCCCGTCTTAAAAAAATAAATAAGGCTGGGCACGGTGGCTCAAGCCTGTAATCCCAGCACTTTGGGAGGCTGAGGCGGGTGGATCACGAGGTCGAGAGATCGAGACCATCCTGGTCAACATAGTGAAACCCCGTCTCTACTAAAAAAAAAAATACAAAAAATTAGCTGGGCATGGTGGCGCGTGCCTGTAATCCCAGCTACTTAGGAGGCTGAGGCAGGAGAATTGCCTGAACCCAGGAGGCGGAGGTTGCGGTGAGCCGAGATCGCGCCATTGCACTCCAGCCTGGGTAACAAGAGCGAAACTCCGTCACACACAAAAAAAAAAGAGAGATTGAGACCATCCTGGTTAACATGGTGAAACCCCGTCTCTACTAAAA